AGCAAGATAATTCCAGAAAAATATCTACTTCTGCTTCATTAGTTACACTAAAGCCTTTGACTGTGTGGATCACAACAAACTGTAGAAAATCCTTCAAGAGATGAGAATACCAGACTACCTTAACTGCCTCCTGAGAAACCTGTATGCAGGTCAGGAAGCAACAGTTAGAATCAGACATGGAACAACAGACTGGTTCAAAATTGGGAAAGGAGTGCATTAAGGCTGTATATTGTCACCCTGCTTTTTAAATTTATATGCAGGGTACATCATGAGAAATGCCAAGCTGGATGAAGCACAAGCTGGAATCAAGACTGGAGAAATATCAATAACCTCAGATATGCAGATGATAGCACCCTTAATTGCCAAAAGTGAAGAAGAACTAAAGAGCCTCGTGATGAAGGTGAAAAAGATGGCTTAAAACTCAACATTCAGATTACTAAGATCATGGCATCAGGTCCTATCACTCCATGGCAAATGGAAAACAGTGATAGACTATCTTTTCTTGGGATCCAAAATCACTGCAGACAGTGACTGTAGCCATAAAATTAAAAGATGCTTGCTCCTAGGAAAAAAGCTATGACCAACCTAGACAGTGTATTAAAAAGCAGAGACATTACTTTACCAACAAAGTCCATGTAGTCCAAGCTATGGTTTTTCCAGTAGTCATGTACGGAAACAGATGTGAGAGTTGGACCATAAAAAACAGAGTGCCGAAAAATTGATGCTTTCGAACTGTGGTCCTGGAGAAGATTCTTAACAGTCCCTTGGACTGCAAGGAGATCAAACCAGTCAGTCCTAAAGAAAATCACTCCTGAATATTCATTGGAGGGACATATGTTGAAGCTGAAGCTCCACTACTTCGGCCACCTGATTCGAAGAGCCGACTCACTGGCAAAGACTCTGATACTGGGAAAGATTGAAGGCGGAAGAGAAGGGAAAACAGAGGACGAGGTTGTTGGATGGCATCACTGACTCAATGCAGAGTTTGAGCAAACTCTGGGAAATGGTGGACAGGGAAGCCTGGTGTGCTACAGTCCATGGGGTCGCAAAGAGTTGAACATGCCTGAGCGACTTAACAACAACAACATATCATAGACAGGGCATGCTACACCGTATTTAACTACTCGCATATTGAGAAACATTTGCTATAATAAATAATTCTGCAGTCAGAATCTTTAAGGTTTTTTTTTATGCTATACACGTGTGTGTGTGTGTGTGTGTGTGTGTGTGTGTGTGTGTACTCAGTCACTCCATCATGTCTGACTCTTTGTGACCGCATGGACTGTAGCCCACCAGGCTTCCCTATCCTTGGAATTTTCCAGACAAGAATACTGGAGTGGGTTGCCATTTCCTACTCCAGGGAATCCTCCCAACCCAGGGATTGAACCTGCATTTCTTGCATCTCCTGCATTGACAGGTAGACTCTTTGCCACTGTGCCACCTGGAAGCCCGTAAGGTTCTTAGGATTTATTGAATCTATGCAGAGTCTCCAAACTGTGATTACTGGTAGATGGTATGTTTAGATCTTCATTTAATTCATTTAAAAAATATTTACTTTAGGCCACGTGGTATCTTAGTTGCAAGGCAGAGGATCTTTTGTTGTGGCACTCAGGCTTAGTTGCCCCGTGGCATGTGGAATCTTAGTTCCCCAACCAGAAATGGAACCCAAAGCCCAGCATTGGAAGGCGGATTCTTAACCACTGGACCACCAGGAAAGTCCCTATTTAATACATTTTAAATTTTTGTTTGTTTAGGGTATCAAGCAGGCATGAATGTGTTCTACGTTAGTTAGGTTATGGATTTGGCTGCAGGTGAGATGGCTGGATGGCATCACCAACTTGATGGGCATGAGTTTGAGTTAACTCCGGGAGTTGGTGATGGACAGGGAGGCCTGGCATGCTGCGATTCATGGGGTCGCAAACAGTCGGACACGACTGAGCGACTGAACTGAACTGAACTGAACAAAAACTTCCAATAGCTATTACTTATATAACAGTCAATTATGTCAGCAATATTTATAAAATAAACCATTTCCCACTGAATTAAAATGCCTTCCTATTTTTTTTTAATGTAGACCATTTTTAAAGTCTTTATTGAATTTATGGAATATTGCTTGTTATTTTAAATTGCTGCTCGGTTTTTTTTTCCTTTTTTAAAATTTTATTTTATTTTTAATTGGAGGATAATTGCAATATGCTGATAGTCTACCATACATCAACATAAATCAGCCACAGGCATACATATGTCCCCTCTCTCTTAAACCTCCTTCCCACTTCCCTCCCCTCCCCCACCTCTCTAGATTATCACAGAGCTGTTGCTTCTGTTTTCTGTTTTTGTTTTTTGACCTCAAGGCATGTGGGGTTTTAACTCCCTGACCAGGGGTTGAACCCTCACTCACTACATGGAAGGTGAAGTCTTAACCACTGGACTGCCAGGAAAGTCCCTAAACTGTTCCATTTTTATATTAAAAGAGTTTTATAATAATTGTTAGCTGCTCTTATTATATTAATTTATAGCTGCTGATATCTTAGTAATTTATCTTCTGTTAACTGTTTGATTTAAGCTATTTGATTTACACTATTTCCACAGATCAAGTTAAAGTCGGTCAAACTTGTTTTGTAAAAACTGGTTTGTCCTGGCACCTGGATATCATCATTTGAGGCAGAGGTCATTTTCTTAGTTCCGGGTTTTCAATGTTAAGAAGTATCTCTACCCCACTGTGACTACAGCTAAGACATCACATATTTGTTTCATCAACATAGCCTTAGTGGAAAAGAAACCATTACTGAAGTAAAAGCCTGATCACAGCAGAGATCTAGAGAGAGGGACCGAATTTCCCAGGGTAACTGGACTCCACCTTACCACTCATTTCACAAATAATGGGTGTGAGCAAGCGTCAGGATGAGCTCTAATGTTAAATCAATTCCCAAGTTGGTGGGAAATTGAAGAGGTGCTCTCCAGCCCCTGGCTCTGGTACACTATGCATCTCAAGTTTGTGGCTCCATTAGCCTCTTAACTGACAGCACTGCCTCTGGCATGGTCTCCTGATAGCACTGCCTCTGGCATCATCTGTTTATAGAGGAAAATTTTGGTCAGGTTCATGCCTTATGCACAAAAGTCCTTCCTTTGACTTCAGAGAAAAGCAATGTGATCAAAAGAAGCTGCACTTGGGATCCTGTCCCCTTTCCACCCTGCTAGAGTACACCCTTTTAGTCGTTCAGTCGTGTCCAACTCTTTGTGACCCCATGAACTGTAGCCTGCCAGGATCCTCTGTCCACGGGACTTCCCAGGCAAGAATACTGGCGCCATTTCCTTCTCCAAGGGATCTTCCCCACCCCTGGATCGAAGCCACGTTTCCTACGTTGGCTGGCGGGTTCTTTACTACTGAGCCACCTGGCAAGCCCAGAGTATACCCTTTGTCTCGCTCCAAGACCTAAAGAGAGCATCTCTTCTGTGAACCCTTCCTGGTTTCCAGCGCCTGCAACAGTGAAGTGAGCTGGAAGGCATGTGGTTTCTCGGGTCTCAGCCCTGACTTCCTGTGGCCCCTGTGAAGATTTTACCAGGGGCATCTGTCCACATTCCTCTCCCAAGTTCTGATCGGTGGGTCTGAAATATAGCTATGGCTCTTGCATTATTTTAACTTCCACAGGGGATGGGCAACAGATGGGGTGGGGATAAATGCGATAGGCCAACCCTTTAACTTAGAGGTGAGGGCATAGAGACCACAAAACACTACACAGACAGACGTGTGTTCCCTCCTGGAAACAGATCCTTCAAAGACTGGGACTTGAACTCCTCGCAGCAGTGTCTCCAGAACCTAGAACTGGATCTACCTAGAAGGCTGATTTGTTGGCAGAATTGTGCAGTGAGTGAGTGAATATAATGTCAAGCTTCAGCCGGAAAACTGGACTGTGGGAGCACACGCCTGAGGGAGTGTCTGGAGTCTGGGGAAAATGGGGCAGGAAGGTCAGGGGCGTGGAGACCAGCGCGGGCTTTGAGACGGGAGGCCCAGCACCCGGGCAGTTGCGGGAGGTGGAGCGGGAACGGGGAGGGCCGGTTGGTGGCGGCCTGGCTGAGAGGGAGGGGCCGTCAAACCTGCTGGGTGGCGGCTGCACTCTGCGCGCAGCAAGGCAACGGACCGACGGCCCGGAGGCGCTCGGCGCAGGTGAGACGCTGGCTGCGGGCAGAGGGCTCGGAGCGCGGCCAACGAAGGGGGCTTGGTCAGGGGAAGCGGCGCGACTCGAAAGGGCAGGGAGGCGCTGGAGGCCCAAAGATGGGAAGCTGACCCGGGGCCCCCCCGGGGCTGGCCGATGGCGCACCTGGCGGCTCCCACCTCGCCCCGAACCTGTGTCCGATCGCGGGCTGCCCTGGGGTGAATATTGCTGCGGCTCCAGCCTGGCAGGGCGACCATGTCGCCCAGGGAGACGAGCTCCCCAGTGTGAAGCCCCAGCATCCGTTCCGCCCCAGAATCGGAAACTCCCGCGGGGACGGCTGGCGTCCCGCCTGGAGACCAGAGCTGTATTGCGTCCGGGGCTCATGGCGCATCTATAGCGACCCTCAATGGGCAGTGCCACCCCCATGAGGGCGCCGACCACATCCCCCCTTAGGCCAGGAACCCTGAAGGTTAACAGCAAGAGGCGATTGACAGATATTGTCCCCTGAGCCATTATTTAGCTTCCATGAAGAGGCCGAGAGATGTGAGGGGCAGAGGGTGAAGGTAAGCGGTGCTTGGAGAGGTTTTAGGTGTTCCTGTCTGGGTCCAGAGGGAGAGCCCCTGGAGACAGGAGCTAACCCTAGACGTAAGAAGGGTTGTGTTGCAACAACGGGGAAACCAGTCACTTTCTGAAATAAATCACTTTAAAATTTTAGCCAGGTGCCTGTCTAAAAGTAGCGGAAATGACCCCTTCCTTCACGTCCTCTTCCACCATGGCCCTCTGCGACTGCCGTTTTCCTCGAATCCCTGACCCTTGGCACCGTCGCCCCACCCATGGCTCTGCTTGACTCATAAAGTGACAAATGGATTTTACCTGTATTTTTACATTCACTTTAATAGGTAATGTAGCTTATGGTTAAAGGAAATGTGTCCTGTTTTTAACCCGATGTGCAACACATTCAATACAATCTGGGTTTTGCCCCATGTTGAACACCGTTGGGGAGAAAAACACTACACTGTGAGCTATGCAGCCTACACCTGCTCTTCATGCCTGAGAGCTTGTCTGCTTGATATGATGTAGTTACCCTCTGTTCCAGCGTCTCTGGAAAAGTTGTGGGATTAATATGAGGGCTCTATTAATATGGCCCCTTAATTTTACAAGGGAAGGGCACCTGACATAGGCTGAGGAAGAAGGTGTGGTTTCTGGTTATGAATTATCTGTTCTGGTACTACAGGGGGCAAACATTCAATTTTCTTTTCAAAGACCTTAGATTTCCTCTTACTTCATCCATACACAATGGAAACAGTGGCTTGCTTATCTCACACTCTGCAATTTTCCTTACATTCTATAGGTTCCTCCCTGCCCCTACTGGGGGGTGTTGGTTATGATGAGCTAGGTGAAGTTATTGAATCTCACCAGTAACTTGATTTAAAGTATGACACCAATATATCCTTGGTAATGTGTCTTCCCTAATCTTAGCACAGGGCATTTCAAAACTGTTGGGATTTGGCCAGGGCTGAGGGAAAAGGGGGATATAAAGAAAAACTTCCGCTTTCTTATCTCACCACCACCTACAAGGTAACATTAGCTGCCATGCTCAGTTGGTCAAAGTACAGATGTTACCTATCTATGTAGGCTGTAATCAAAAGATTATCTCTCTCCCTCAAGTGCATCTGCTCATTGAAAATGGATAAAGGCAATTTTCCTGTACATAGGGCCACTCCCACAGCCAAAGTTCCTGTTATTGCAAACCTGTTTATGATTGTAAGAGAGCAGAAGTCACTATTGTTATCAGCTAATGACTGCATCTGTAGACAAATCTCCAGTTTACACTTGTTTCTATAGACAGGTTTTATAGCAAAAACTAGATTATTCACAATACTATACAATATTGAATATGGACAATTATTAGCCAAAGATAAGTGATGTATTTCCCACATTTTGTTTGAACCCAGCTTCCCTTTTAACCAACCAGCCCTCTCCCCTGGGGTTAGAAACAGAGATGATTTCAATTTTAGCTGTTTTTGTTTCTCTTGTCTGTTCGCCTACATAAAAATAAAATGGGTCTCAAGGTACACGACAGAAGGAAGAAGGAGACTCAAAAGATCTATCCACCTTGTGTGAAGAATTAAGCGGCAAACATCAAAGCACGCTCGTGTATTCCCCTGGCAGGATTTAGATGTCTAAGCCATTATCCATCTCTTCCTGGTATCAAATCATAATGGGGTTTCACAGAGTACTGGGCACTTACCTTAATAAGCAGCATTGTGAGGTCGGAGTGTTGTTGTTTCTGTTTAGTCACTAAGTCGTGTCCAACGCTTTTGTGACCCCACGGACTGTAGCCCGCCAGGCTCCTCTATCCATGGGATTTCCCAGTCAAGAATACTGGAATAGGTTGCCATTTCCTTTCCAGGGCATCTTCCCCACCCAGGGATTGAACCCACGTCTCCTCCATTAGCAGGCGGGTTCTTTACTGTTGAATCACCAGGGAGGTCAGAGTTACAGCCCTCTTTCATAAACGAGGAAACAGACTTAGAGACAGTTTCTGTGCCAGGCCTATGTGGCAGAGCCAGATCTCAAGCCAGAAATCCCTCTACGACATCACAACTCCTCATGTGTTCTTTGTTGCTTAGTTTGTTTAATTTAGATTGGGGGGTGGTTTGTGTTTTGTTTAATATATTTTGACTTGAACTCATAGAGTCTAAATATAGAAACACTCTTTTGGGTACATTTCATAGCCATCTTTGTTCAATGTGATCACAAAATATTTTAGGGCTGAGGATAGCCTTAAAGATTATTAAGACCAATCTTCTTGATTTCAAAGAAGAAAAGTGGATTCAGGGAAAATTAAACACCCCATGAACCTTCCCCAAATGTGCTTTGCTAATGAATTACAAAGAAAACATAGGTCTCCCAGTGTCCAGACAGTTGCTATTTCTGACATGTGGTCTCCTGAAGATTTCCTACCTACATAAATTGAATGGTTTATTTCCATTGACTCTGTTGCTTTAGGGTCTGTGACAGCAAACCATAGCCCCTCTGAATCCTGAACTCAGATACCTGTAGATTCTTCTACTCTAACTGTATTCCACACTACATGAGGGAAAGAATCTTATTTATCAGGGCTATTGTGTCATTCCTAGCACACTGCCAAAAGCACTCAAAAAAAAAAAAAAGTGTTCAATATACAGTATATCAAACACACTTTTGAATAAGTATCAGATGTCATGAGGACTTCGTGTAGCTACAAGTCACAGAAGACCCTGCTATGGGGGGCTCAGTAAGTAAGGAGTTTGTTCTTCTCAGCACCAGATGTCTGGAAGTGCAAAGTCCAGAGCTAGAGTAGGCTCATTCCACTCTTATCATGCTTTCAGCCTCACTTGAGGACAGGCAGCTCTTCTGTGCTTAATAGAAAGAAGGGCAGAAGCCATGTACCACTTGAGTCTGTCCCTTTTTTATAATATAATAAGTCTCCTGTATATGAACCTTCAAGTTGTGAACTTTCAAGGATGTAAACATGCATTCCATCACGATCACATGTGAGGGTAACTGCAGCCTGCCCTCTGTCTCTTGTTGCTGACGATCCTTCAGCTCAACCATCTCCCCCCTCCTCTTCTTCCTCGTCAGTAACTGTACATTTCAAGGGACTGTTCAGTTCAGTTCAGTCACTCAGTCGTGTCTGACTCTCTGTGACTCCATGGACTGCAGCATGCCAGGCTTCCCTGTCCATCACCAACTCCTGAAGCTCGTACCAGCTCCTGGAGAAGTACCCACTACAAGGTACTGTACTATAGGATTAAAAATATTTTCATTATTTTTGTGTACGTTTTTTATACATTATTTGTGTGAAAAGTATTATAAACCTATTATAGCACAGTGCTATACAGCCAGTTGTATTGGGTACCTAGGCTAACTCTATTGGATTTACAAACAAATTGGACTTACAAACACACTCTCAGGGCTTCCCTGGTGATGCAGTGATCCTGCCTAGCAAGATACTGGCTTGATGCCTACTATGGCAAGATCCCACATGCCGTGGAGCAACTAAGCCCATGAGCCACAACTACTGAACCAGCACTCTAGCGCCCTTGAGCCAAGCTCTGCAACAAGAAGCCTGCACACCACAGCTACAGGGTATCCAGGCTAGCCACAACTGAAGAAAAGCCTGATGCAGCAATGAGGACCCGACAGAGCCCCCCTCAAACAGGGAGAGACTCAGAACCGGCATTATTCACATGTAGGGGACTTACTGCCACATTAAGATCTTTCCAGGAAGCTCCAACCGGTAGACCCCTTATATCTCACTGGCATAAAAATTACACCACACAACCACCCCAAACTGTAAGGAGCCTGAGAAAATCCAAATCTGGTGTTTTACTTGGATGTGTTGCCAATACAGCAAAACGAGGACCCTGTGACTAAGGAAGAAAGGATATCTGGTAAAGCAAATAGCAGCATCTGCCACAGTGTGTTTTATGGGTCACTGACTCTGTTTTCTACATCTGCTGTTGTTTTTCATTTTATTGACTTTGTTTTTGTTTCGTTAACTAAAAAGAAATAAATAAGACAGTGGATCTAGGGAACTTTTTGAAATTGTAGGTTCCAAGTCTGGCCCTGAGAAATGCTGATTATTTAGGTCTGGGATGGGTCTATGAATCTGAATTATAAACTGGGCACTGCATTTAATTTGAATGCAGGTGGTCACAGGACTACAATTTGAAAAACACTGAATTTGGAGGAGTTTGGTAAAGGCTGCTTCATTTTATTCCAACAGCTTTCTGTCTCACTCCTCTTGAGACTATCACTTTTTTTTTTTAATTTCCCATTTTGGTCAAAACAAATAAAATAGAAAAGATAGGAAAATTAGAATTCGGATTCAAGAGATCCAACATCTAAGTAATTAATATAAGTTTCAGGAAGAATAGTAGGAATTATATAACAGAAAAAACCACCCACAATTGAAGAGTATGATTTTTAGATTGAAAAGGTAAAGTACTTAGAACAATAACCA